TTACATTGTGATCTTTTAAAGTCTGTACTAAAGTATGAAGTTTCTACCCCGTTTCAAAAGCAGTAAATTGTGTTGATACCGTTGACACTTCACGGAAGTGCATGTCAATATTCCTTCTGCGATGCAGTGACTTTTGTGGAAAGCAAAATTTCAAGTGGACGTCCAGTTGACGTGGGCGGCGGGGGAAAAGTGAATATGTCGACAGAGTGAATGATTAATTCGTCTTGTGGAGCTTTAGGCTAACCCCTTATTAGTTTCGATGAAACAAGAACATGCAATCTAAATGGTGCAAAGAAAAACCTGCATCTGTGTCCCCGCGCTGCGATTCGAACAAAAAGAGAATGAGGTATTCATGTTCGAACCTACAGCCTCAGCTGCCATCACACCGTTTGGTAGCCTGAGTAGAGCCTCCCCCACAGGCTAATGTGTAGGGCGCTCCGGCCGAACCAGCCCCCTTGAGCTCTAACAGAGCTCACGATACAAAACTTATGCATTCTTACTACGGTCCATGTGTTACATTTTTCAGACAGCGAAGTATATAGTACAGGCGTGACTTGAATGTACTTTTCCTCTTTTGTCCCCCGGCCACTGCAATTTTTCCCGACTTCTGCTTAAGCCTTACGTTTTTTCAAATAGATAGTATTCAACAACTACACCCCCTGTAATTTGTTTTTTAGTTTACAAAGTTGAAACTGTTCATAAAGTGGTGAAACTGAACGAAAAAAAAAAATGTCGTAGGCTCCCGCCTCCCGCCCAAACTGACACGGATGGCCTCAACCATTTGTTGCTGTGCTCATCATGGAACAGGGCCAGGCGCGCACGATTTTTCTTAAAAATCTGTTTTTTCTTTTCTGCGCGGGCATGCATGACGTCGACAAAGAAGGTGGTTACGTGAGGTAGGTATATTCTTCGGGAATGTTCGTTATTTCAGACGTCATAAAACGAGAAATTGATCGGCATGAAAAACTGATTAAATTCAGAGAAGCTGTGATGGAGACTGAATCAGTTTAGCAGTCATAGTGAGAGACTTTTTGAAGGTCTAAGGACAAGTCACATTTCAAGGCACCATACATTTTTCCTTTTCTCCACTCCCCTTAATTGTAACTAATTTAAATCAATTAATCATCGACTGACAAAAAGTCTCCTCAAGTATGTACTCGATTTTGGTCACGATCCCCCGAGAACATAAGGCTGTTTTCTTCTACGGCCATGCATTTAAATTCTTAAATTTTAAGGAAACTTTCTATCGAGGTGAATTCTGTAGGATTGAACTGATTTTGTCACTTGAAACTTCATGTCAATGATATTCAAAATAAATTCTAAATGGGATGGGAATTGTTAATTACATTTAAGTGAGCCCGCAGAGCAATATATTCAGTTTTTAACGAAAACGCGACCCAGAGATATCTTGATTGCGGCCGCCATCATGAAAGGAATCATTTACTCGCCCCCAACTCTCTGTCAGTTTAAACGTCCAAATCACTCACAATGCAGTACGGCTGCTTTGCAGGCTACAGTTTGTTTTACCGTAACAAATTTCAGTCTGCGACCGGGACGCAGAAAATTTTTCATTTCTTAAAATGATACTAACAGATGAAAAGTGTCACGTGACCTATTTTGTTTAATTATTAATTAAATAAAAAATCGAGTTAACCATTCCGGCCAGATTCATGCGAGGAACAATGATAAAAATACTGTATTTAATATCTAGTGTGTGGTTATCTCGCCCAGTTTTAGTTTTCTCTTCTTTTCTGGATGGTTGACTTGTCCATAACTGATCACGTGATACAAAGATCTGGTTCTTAACGTAACAGGGAAATTCTCCGAGATTTCCAAATTTTGGAAGCTGTTCTGGTAAATTTTCTCAAAGTAATGATCATTATAAGCCCGGCAAATAAGGCTCAGGCAAAGCCTTTACATGCTTGAGTTCCTTTCTGCAGTCTCTTTTCTCTTATAGTTCTTATCTATCCCGGGATCTTGCGGATTAAGACCAGCAAGCAAAATATCCATCGACATCACATGCTGCTCAGGGGTGAAAATGGCGCCTATACCTCCCCGTATATAACGAAGTCCTCGGTATAACGAACGAGTACCCCCACGAATAAGAAAATATGTGAAAAACGAAACCTCGCTATAGCGAACAAATTTTGCCACCGGCCTTGGCCCTTCGTTATACCGAGGTTCCACTGTTAGCAAACTTAACAAGTATAAAAGTGATACATCCAAAAGCGAGTGGAGATATATATAGACATTATATATTTTATTATGACTTCGTTATATAGAGGTTAAATCGCTCTTTTCACTCCTGAACAGTGTCGATGGATATTTGCTACTGGTCTTAAACCATCCGCTAGATCCGGGGATAGGTAACAGAAAAGAGCACAAACTTGCCCCCCAGGTTTCAAACGTTTGTAAATTTCCAAGCCTTTGCAACTGCGGATCTATATCTTAGTTTTCGACAAATCACTTTTCGCCCTATGACAGTTTTGGATTCTGGATTCCCTCGCCGTGAATTACGGATTCCAAGCAGGGCTTTCCAAATTCTTTGTCAGTGGAACTTGGATTGGGGATTCCAGTCATTAAGGGAATCCGGATTCCTTGAGCTTTATTCTGGATTCCAAAGCCCATGATTCCGGATTCCACAAGCACAAATTTTCCTGATTCTGTATTCCACAAGCTAAAATTTCCCGCCTTCGCGAACCCGAATTGCACTCGTTCGATATTGGCAACTTTACTGATCTTGTGCGCTTTTTTGTTAGCTGTGTTGATGGATTTTCGCTAACTTGTGTATTTAACCTATGTTAAAAATACTCGGAGGCCTAGCCAAATTCTTAACCTGCGCTGGATTCCGACATAGTTGACGAGCGGCAGTTTGGGCTTTCTAGTTCGTCCGAAGGGCGCAAGCTGCAACCGCACATGCAACTTTCTGTTTTTCGGCCAGCAACTGATTTGGGAACTCGCCCCATCCCCCTTCCCTATCGGTTATCATGAGGGCCATGAGATTAGGTAGCTATTGGATTTTCTTTATAATTCAGATTTTACCTTCAAGATCAGACAGTCTATTTAACTGAGCAGCCTGGAGACAGATCATGCCATCAGGTCAGTTAGATGTTTTGAAAGTATTACGAAAAGCAAAGTGCTACGTCTTGAAAGACTTATAATTAAAAGGAGTGATCACCCAAAAATTGTCGACCGCCTAGAACCTGAGAGGGTATATGCTGAAATTATACAACGAGTTCGCCAGGAAGTTTGAATAGGAATTTTCTTTTACTGATCATTCCTATTATTTATAGTGCAATCCTTCCTTTGCTTCTACGTATGAAAACTCCATACTTATACTTATACTTTTCTGGGGACCAATGTTTTCTGTTTGGTGACTGTAGCTCTGTAGCTCTGTGCTGAATTAGAGAGGACATCAGAAAGAGCGTGTTTAAAACATGGTATGACAAAATGGTGAAGAAATGGCAAAATGACTAAAATTATTTAGAAATAATACATATTTAATTTTCTTTTACTGGGTTTTCTCCCTAAATTCAGTTGGTGGAGTTGCTTGTCGACCCCACAGCTCTCTCCTTTACCCACTAAAGTAACCAGCCTTCGAACAGGCTCTCTGTTTGGGAAAAGGTCGGACAGCGGTATTTCGTGAGAAGTGCGAAAAGACTGGAAACAAGGAAAAGCAAAATGGCGGCCGCAGAAACGTGATCTTGAAAACTACAGTTTACAAAGGGAAGATGCAGGTTTCCCAGCCCAATAATGTTAAGATCTACAACCTTTCTGCCGGAAAATCATTGCCAGAGGTATTGAAGAAAGGCTTTTGTTATATTTTGTTCATTTAGAAGCAGTTTGTGCTTGTATTAAGATTTTGCACGTGCTAAAGTAAGGCATACATGTAGCTATGGTCAATGATCTGGAGCTACGTACACTTCATTTCTTTTCTCTTTCTGGCTGGACTTTTGCATCATTGAAAATTAAAAGTGTTTCTTTTCTTCTCTTTTTGTTTTAGTGGCTTTCTGAACGAAAGAGGCGGACATTGCAAAAGAATGATATTAGTAAGTTTTAAAGTCATGCATAAAGTCATCTGAGAAAATTAATGTAAACTTAATTTAAGCTTAATGGTTTTCTGCATTGAGCAGCACTCATAAAGATAAAGAAAGGAATTTCATAGACCTTAGTGGACATTGTAGAATTATAAGACCTCATTTGTATCTTCAACTTAGGAGCAAAACTTCAAGTCAGGTGGTAATTCTGCTTACCTTTGCCACTGAAAACAATACTTTTCCTGTTGTTTTTTTTTCTTCCCCGATTGTGATGTTTTGGAGAAACTTGTATTTTCATTATTAGATATCAGAAGAAGAATTGAGCTTCTTCAAGATTTTGAGATGCCAATTGCTTCTACAAATATCCTTGTTTCTTCAGACAAACAGTACATTATGTCATCAGGTGAGGTTTGGCCAGGTTGTCATAAATTCAAAGATTCAATTTCTCCCTAACTTTTGTCTTTGCAAGGTTGATTTTGCCCTGTACTCCTACCCCCTGGACAAGATTGCTTTCAACTGTACCCCACAAAGTCCTGGACCCAGTTGTTCAAAAGTTGGACAGCGCTAGCGCGCTATATCCATTGGATAAATCACCGTCCAACAAATAAGTGTTAGGGAAACCACTGGATAGTGTTATCCAGCTTTTGAACAACTGGGGCCAGGGGTTTCCCATTGGGGATTGTAATACCTACATTCATTACATTGATAAAATTGACCATTTAAAACCTTGGTGTTTCTTGGTGCTTTGGAAACCATTGTAAGTTGGTGTTTGCTTTTGTGTTGTGGTGTGGGTATTGTTTGTTGTCTTTTCAATCTTTTGTATGACATCATGTGGTGATTACACCTGTCCGCAACACCAAGAAACTACCTAAAAACTTAAGCCTTAGTGATGTAAATGGGACGCTATAAGTTAAATTATAGCAAAAAAAGTGGGGACCAAAATTGCTGTGAAGATTGCCATTGTGGCATAGTGTGTTCAGCTCTATGACTATGTGTCAAGCAGCAATGTTTTTATTAGTTTGTAGTTATGGACGTTTTAAGTTTTCTGTAAGATCATGCACCCTTAACATGATTGCATGTCTCTACAAATTTGATTGAAGTACCAGTAGTTGGTAAGGCATTTCAATTGTTTCTCTTTAACTCATGATGTACTATTATATTATACTTTTCTGGGGACCAATGTTTTCTGTTTGGTGACTGTAGCTCTGTAGCTCTGTGCTGAAGAGAGGACATCAGAAAGAGCGTGTTTAAAACATGAAATAACAAAATGGTGAAAATGAAGAAATGATGAAATGGCAAAATGACTAAAATTATTTAGAAATAATACATATTTAATTTTCTTTTACTGGATTTTCTCCCTACAATTCAGTTGGTGGAGTTGCTTCTCGACCCCACAGCTCTTCTCTGTTTCGCAGCCATAAGATCTAGAGGCTCTGTTGATGAGATCGTTGTCAGGCAGACCTTGTGTGATGTGTGCGCGCAAGCTCATCATATACTCTGAAAATAGCTCTTACGTGGGAAAATTAACTGAAGTGTCAGCGGAGACATCGAGCTGGCGGAGTGCATTACAAAGTGAAGCTACAACTGTTACGTATGTGAGGATGGGGAAGTAAAAACTCCATACTCGAAAAAAGGATACTAACAGCTCTCCAAATAAATAGGGTGTATAATTTTGTGTGAGTCTGTCCTAATTATTTTATTATCAACAGGGTATTGCATGCACGATTGATTTGATTTGCTTTGTTTACTCTACTTGTAACTTATACAAAGGCAATGACCAGAAGTGAATTTGCCCTGACTAATGCAATTGCCAATAAATGGCTTTAAAGGAAAACAATGGCATTTTGTCCTTTTTCCTAAACAGGGTAATAAAATTTAGGGTGTCGCCCTAAACAGGCTATGTATTTTTAGGATTTTTTGTCCTAAGCAGGGTTAGGGTTTCAAAACCTCAGTAGATCACCTACCCTGGCAACGAGAAAGATCACGTGACTGTGACTAGTCACAAACAGAAAGTGACTGTACTGCAATGGCAAAGCAATTTTGAGAGGTTTTGTATGCTGAGCAGAGTTTCACCAATTCAAAGAAGGCAAAATAAATAATGACTGGGCACCAACAAGAAACAAGTAGTCAGTTGTTTTTACTGTTTAAGAAAGCCATTTCATCACTTTGCCATTTCGTCATTTTGCCATTTTGTGTTTTAAACACGCCCCATCAGGAAGGGCAGGAGAGAATGGGATTTGACTGTGGTGAAATGCAACCTGGAGAATAAAAAAAATTCTTTTGCTTCCTCTTTCAGTGATTTTGCATTTTGCATTTTGCATTTTGCTCTGCATCTTGCCCTTTGTGTGAATGTATACTGGTAAAGGGAATCCATTTTTTCATCTTCCCTTTCTAATAACAATTAACTGGACTAGTACGACTAAGGTGATTCATGCTTTAGTTTAGTGAAGTAATAACTCACATTGTTGCACACTCACGAGAATGAACTTTCCCTTTTTTTCTTAAAAATATATAGGGGTTTACAAACCTCGAGTACGCTGTTATGAAACATCAGAGCTCTGCATGAAGTTTGAACGATGCTTGGATTCTGAGAGTAAGTGTAAAGTCTTTTGCTTCGTTAATAAAAGGTGTGTGTGTTTACATTGCCAAAAGAGTTCAAATTATAATTATTGCTGCCCTGAGCTATTAATTTGATTAATTAATTTTTATTGTTCTTTCTTTTTACAGTTGTGAAATTCCGTATACTATCTGAGGACTATTCAAAGGTGATTTTTGTACATGTTTGTTACAGGTGAAAATGAAATTCAGGCTAAAATTTTTTAACCTAGGTTGTTTCTCTATTTCCTTTGTTACTTATCCCTAATTATTCATGAATTACGGTCAGGAGGCAAAGAAAATTGGGAATCAGCCAAGGCTAAAAAATTTTAACCTGAATATAATTTTGACCTGTATTACATACTGGCTTTATAACTTTTTTGTTTATTAAAGCAAAGTAAACAAAATGATAATATCAGCACTTAAGTAAAGAAGTGTAGTAAAGAACGAATTGTAGGAAATGCACAAATTTCTGTGTTGTGCAAAACAACTGCATTAATACCCCTGAATGATAGAGAATAATTATTTCCTTCAATTTCATTTACTAATTTTAACCTGTGTTTATTTTCATAATTTTGCAGATGGTGTTTCTAACCTGTGACCGATGTGTGGAATTTCATGCACAGGTATGTTTTACATACAGGGCTCAAGAAAGAAGTAAGAAAGAAAGAAAGAAAGAAAAAACTTGAATTTCTGTTTGTCCTGTAAATTAACTCTGGGCAAGTACATGTAACTCTCATGTTATCACTTGTTGCCTGGGAGCCATTCTTTGTTTATAATTTTGTTTGAGGATGAACCCTTGCCCACTGGGAAAGTCAGCTGTGAAAAATTACTTACCCAACAAGAAAATCTACTTATCCTGGACTGCTACCCGATAGGACTTTTTTTCGTGTCCTTGTATATTATGTTAAAATTTTAGAAGACTATTTAGTATCCATAATAATATATGTTCAGTATTTTTTAGTTTACTGGTATACTGATCACTGTATTTGCATCAAACAAACAATTTTTATGCTTTTCTAAATAATAGTAAATAATCGGTCAGTGTAAAACGCAGACTGCGGACTGCAGACTGCAGACTGCGGACCAGGGGTAAAATGCAGACTGAGTGTAAAATGCAGACTGCAGACTAAGAGTAAAACGCAGGCTGGGGTAAAATGCAGAATAAAGACTGTAGACGTTTTTAAACATTTGTGTGCCTTCTTCTTCAAATCGGTGAAATAGCTAACCGGTATCAGTTACACAGTTACTAGTCGAAGTGAATTGCACATTTGCCAGAAGTTTCAATGAAAATCCAAGCAGCTTAAGTCTGCGTACCTTGATTTGCAATACTTTCATAGAAGGTCATCCAAATTTCCTGCAGACATCTTTGGAATGACTTACTCCTGTTTCTTTCGCCATAATTCCTGTACAGTATTTTGGGTCAGCAGCTTTCATTTAAGCGTAAACATTGTGGTGTTGTACCAGTTCACGGTCCCTGGTCACGTATATCGAAAACTTCGCATCAAAAGTTGAAGTGTGAAGTCTCTCGGATGGAAAAAAGGTTCTAGATTGCGATTATGTTTTCGGGTCGTCGACGACGTTCCAGAGAAGAAAGGAATGGATTTGTGAAAGCAGATGTCATCAAGTAAGTGTTCGTTTACATGTATTTGCGGGATTTTTTTGCCCTTAAACCCTTCCACGACTACAGTTTATGCTCGGTCTGCATTTTACCCCAGCCTGAGTTTTACTCTTAGTCTGCAGTCTGCATTTTACACTCAGTCTGCATTTTACCCCTGGTCCGCAGTCTGCAGTCTGCATTCCGCAGTCTGCGTTTTACACTGACCGGTAAATAATATACATCATGTACACTGTACTTTTCGCACTGATTGATCATACTTTTCAGTATGGACGGTATTATCGCACCAGAATTCCCAAGTTTGGACGTGATCTTGTTTATCATTATCCATCATGTGATCTTTATTTAGTTGGAGCAAGGTAATTTTAAATAAGTTTTCTTCTGATGATTTTTACCACTGTGAGATAATACAGAATTCCCTCCTGGGGCCCGTTTCTCAAAATGCCAGGAAACTTTTCGGGCCTGAAGGCAAATAATGAAATCTACACCTGTGGAATAGCAGCACAGTTCCTTGTCCATAAGCCACTCAATTTTGCTTTGTTAACTGATAGTTTCGTTTTATTATTAATTTCAAAATTATTGAAACTTTGATCTTGAATGTAGCTGCAGCAAACACAAAGCATCTTTCTGGGCCCGAAAGTTACTGGGACTATCAAGAAACAGGCCCGTGGAGAGAATCAGACAGGTTCTTTTTAGATTTGCTAGTAGTTTTTTATTCATTTATCTCACACTGATCCAGGGCTGTCTTTAAGAGTTGGGGGCCGGGGATTTCCCCCGGCTACTATGAATGTGGTCCCTGGCTACTTTAATTGCAAAATAGAAGAAAAATAGAACCAAAAGAAATCCTTAGCTGTTTAATTCCGCACCTTATTGTTGTATTTACCCAGCAACTTGAAATCTTAATGACAACCCTGCTGATCCTTTGAAAACAGTGTTCACCATCTTTACCTCAGGCTTGTTGGTCACATTATTGCATTTGACTGGCTTATAACTATTGTTTATCACATTGTATAATAAATTATTATTTTTTTAATTTGTAACTCAAAACAAATTACAGAGTTCATTTTTCAACAGTAGTTCTTTTTATTTCTTAACAGTTCTGAAGTTTACAGATTAAATCTTGAGCAAGGACGATTTTTGAACTCTCTACAGACTAGCGCTGTGTAAGTATCTGGCTTTTACAATCAATTATATGTGCCATATTACATCTAGACAGTATTACTATGTATTTAGTAAAAATAATACTTGTAAACAATATTTATTTTGATTTCAGGGAGATAAACACTTGTGATATAAATCCAGTTCATCAGCTTTTTGCTGCAGGAACAGCCGAGGTACCTGTAGTCTTTTTTGGTGACTTCATCTTGATAAATAAATAAATTATGTCAAAAAAACTTGGCAATTGGACGCCTGTATAGCCATCTTAAATTAATAACAACTTTGGTCATTAATGCAAATACTGTACAGTCAAGTCTTACATGTAATTGCCAATCATGCTCATTCTGGTTTGGTTTAAAAGAACTCTTCACCTGCAAAGTTAGCTGGCAATGTTGTCCTTGACTATTGAAACTGATGACGTCACAAGTTGTAGAAGGGACGTAGTTTTCCACGGGCAGCAGTTCAGGGGCAAATAGTTTAACCATTACTAAATTATTTCTTCCACCCAACTAGCAGTACAGCTGTATATACTTCATGTCAAACAGTTTTTTTTAGGCCAAAAACTGTCCCCAAAGTAGCCATTATAAAAAACTAAGAGTGTTGCAACCATTGCTTCTTTCTCTTCTCCTTCTTTAATTTTTTACTCCTTTCTTGTTCTTTTTCTCCTTTCCTTTTTTCTTTTGCTGGTGCCATTTTGAGATTATTGGGCGCGAAAAAATACCCTGACTTTTGGCCGTTTTTTACTCAAATGACTGCAAATTTTTTAGGTTTTCAAAATATTGGCTAGATCGATACTTACTTAAAAATGTTACCTTGTAACGAGTGGTTTCCATTCTTAATAACTTACACTAAAATGTATTTTCATTGTTTCAGGGCCATGTAGAATGCTGGGATCCTCGATCCCGTAGCCGGGTTGGTGTTTTGGATGTTGGAATGAGTGGACTTGACTTCCAGAGGTACAGAAAACTAGAAATGCATTTACGTGTACATTGTATCTTTGTATGTCTCCATGATTCTCAATCTGGGATCAAGAGGGTTAAACTTGTTATCCTCTTGGCTTGCATAGTCCTTTCTACGGAATGCCTGCTTCAAAGTAGCCAATTTGTTTTACTTCATTGGCAAAGATTTCCCTCCCTGATATCTTGGCGTTCAATACCCAGTTGATACTTCGAATTTCAAGTGACGGTGATGATCCAAGGATGTTTTGTGGGTTTGAAATTTTCGATTCCGGGATTTTTTTGGGTAGGAAATTTTGGGAAGTATTTTTTTGGGTGGCCTAATTTAATGAGGATCGATTTAGAGATACATTGTAAAACAAAAGTGAACGGTCAATGAAAGTCAAGTCAAGTCAAGTCATCATTGTCAAATGATAAGAAAATCAGTTAACATGATTTGTGGAGATATAAATTATATTATAGAAAAAGAAAGTGCGAAAAGTGCAAGTAAATGTAAGCGTGAAAATGGACAAATAACAATTAAATAAAGAGCAGAAAGAGTTTCGCACGAATGGAGTCCGATTGAGTGTTTAGCGTGGGTCTTTTATCTCGTATGATTAAAATCTCGAAAATCAGACACTCTAGCTTCCCTCGGCATTTCTTGAGAATTTTTAAAGTTTCCACCACGGTTTACCCGCTTTACTTCGTGTTTCTCCGTGAAATGCTTGCCAACTACCGAATGTTTATGTTGCTCTACACGTTGATGAAGGTGACGGCCGTGTATCCTGCAAATTATTTGCATCACACAAATCACACTCAAATTCATATACAACATTTATTCTGGCTGTTTACAAGGGGCGGTTTTAATTCCGTCTCGCGTAAGTCGTTAATGATCTTTTTGCTAGTGAAAACTGGCTGCAATTCATAATCGATTTTCCTTCCGAGGTCGGAAAAGAACGGCTTGCATTCTTCGGGTTTATGCACCTAGAATTGCAATTTACATAGTAAGCTTAGAAGCACATGTAGGATGCCGAGCGATTTTACAAACGAAACCCTGCACGTCACCAAAATTAATTTATCTCGATTAATCACGTCTAAAGTCCCTCATGAAAAGGTCCTTAATAGAATGAGCGACTATAGAGCTTACCGCGTTGTTCACTTAGTTCTGGCCTGCACTGTATTGACTGAAAATCGATACCGGTCAATTATTTACCAATCAGACTATCCATACCAACAGCTCTCTTCCTCTCCTAGTTTCTAGGTCTACAGTCAAGTTTGTACTTGCATGACTCTACATGACTGTACATATGTATTACAATGTGTAACTGTAGTTATAACGGACCTTTTTCTAATGATTATTTCAGTTTGGATAATGTTCCTGCTGTGACGGCACTCTTGTTCAGGGATGGTCTGACCATGGGATTGGGAACCAGTACAGGACATGTGAGTTCTAAAACCACACACCGCTTTCTGTTATTGTACCAGGCTTGAACAAAATTATGCCTTTGTTTTAATTTCTTGTTTAATTTTTGACTGGGATCGTGGTGGCCTAGCTTCTACCAAAAAGCACTCCCACAGTCTTATCCTGCCGGCTTTGCGGCAGGCGATTTGAAGCGTGTAAAACAAATGTTTTGCCTTTTGTCATCACACAATTATTTGTTATTATTGGCAGGTTCTGCTGTATGATCTTCGCTCCACCAAGCCTTTGTTAATTAAAGATCACCAATACGGTCTGCCGATTAACAGCATTGCATTTCAAGACAAGCTTGGCGTTGTCTTGTCAGCGGATTCTAAGATTCTAAAAATCTGGGACAGAGAAACAGTGAGTATAGTTTCATATCAAAACTAAAACGGTTGAAGCTAACCACAACGGCCACCTTGGGGACAGACAAAAGTGGCCCTTTTGGAGAGGTGGCCGTTATGGGGAGGTAGGGGGTGTAAATAAGAATTTTGTTTTAGGGAGTACAGCATGTTTATTGCGACAAAACTTTGCTTAAAAACATTTTAAGAAATGTAAAAAAAAACATGACGACGTTACGACGTTCTCATAGCGTATATACTCAGAGTGAGTCCATTAGTGCGAAACTCTTTGTTTAACTTGTAGCATATTTTGACTCGTTACTTTTCTTTTTAATGATCTCTTATACTTTCTTGTATGCGAGAACGTCGAAACGACGTCATGTTTTTTAACGTTTTTTAAAACTTTCTCCAAATGTTTTTAAGCAAAGTTTTATCGCAATTTTTCATAGCCAGGGGCTGAAGGTGTTTTGCTTTTAATTTTTTTTTCACATGAACAACACTCATATCCCTTGGTTTTTGTATGTCATAGGGGAAACCATTCACATCAATAGAACCATCTACAGACATAAACAATTTGTGTCTTTATCCTGATTCTGGTGAGAACTGCCATAACTTTAACATTGGAAAGGGAATTGTTAGATGGTGTCATTTGTGCTGTAGTGGTTATGTTGTACATGTACGTAAAATCGATTTAATATAAGGTTCAATCAGTTTTCAGCCTAGTTTGATTTCAAATTTCCCTTGTTTCCTAGCCCTAATTATTCATAGGAGAGAAAGGAAAACCTGGTTTAACCTGAGAAAAGATCTTACCCAGAACAGTTACACTTTGAGTTTACCAGTATGAGGTTACGTAACTGCCGTTGCAGTTTTGATGTTTTCCGGTTTTTCTTGGTCAAGAAAGTTTGCTTTAAAGTAATATCTCTCATATCTCTCTAAGTGAATTTATAACTCACAGTTCTATCCTTCCTATCAAGTTCTCCATTAGTTTCCAAGGTCCTAAATTTTTTAACTCTCTTAGTTTTGAAATTCGAAATGCAACAAGTACCGCTTCCTTTTGCTGTAAACTGAAAGCATTCCTCTTATCATAAATAGTAATTTATATATATATATATATGTATTTTTTTTTCTTCCTTTGCTCTTTTATTTTCATTTGTTTTGTTTTGTTTTTTCTTTTTGTCATTTCGCTTTTTTTAGCCTAGAACTATGATTAGTACGACTATCTAATATACTTATTTTAAGATTTACTGTAGCTCTGCCATTGATTTTCCCATGTGTAATTATGATAATATTTTGTTCTATTTATCTAACTGAGGGAGCCCATTCCTTATAAGCCCGGTGGCTTCTCTTGGGCTTCCTCGCCATGAGAGTTTAAGTAATTAGATTTCATTTGATTTGTATAATTTTTTGGCAAACAAAACAATAAACAATAAACAGTAAGATACTTTTCCTTGCGTCTATGTCTAGTTTTTTGTCCATTTAATGCATATGCCATTATTATGGCCGTACATCAATATGTACCATGTGCGTTGTCACTATGACTTGTTTGTTTAGCTCATTGTATATTGCATCGTACTTTTTCAATAGGTTTAGTGTTCATGGCAACTGAATCGCCCAAAATGTTGGTCTACTATATCCCAGTAAGTCTAAACTATAGTCACTGTAAATATTCAAGCTTTTTTTTATTTTCGATGCTGTTTAAGTGTAGCCCAGTCTTCAGTCTTTTATTGCCCTAACAGGGCAGTTTCAACTAAATTCTACAGATTAAAAATCCAACGGAAATTTTGTGTAAACCTCTGAATCCTGTTTAAGTGTGTCTTTGACTAAGGACAGGTAGAAAATGAGGTTACTAAAATCGGAAATCTGGGTTTCAGAACCATTTTTCCCTCGTTCTTTACGCTTCTTTCCGCTGCTTGTGAGCGAGAAGACCTTTATCTAGCATCCAGGATATGGCTGGTACGGTCGAAAACTTGACCGGCGCGGTGTGAACACCATAACCGAATAAATTTTTATACCACCAAGACGCGGATACATGGATACGCGGTAACTTAGTTGGAAGACACCATTTAAAATTTGCTGAAGTAGCGCCACTGACAAAAGTTAAAGTTCACCCTAATTCGTCCGTTCCGTGTGAACAGTGCAAAGAATATTGAATGGTTCCATGTGAACGAAGTGTTCGGTCAAATTTTCAAGCCGTGTGAACGTTGCTGGAAGTGACAGGGTTGCATGTGTGAATGCAGCATACTAATGTTTGCGTTGTTGCAGGCTCTTGGTCCAGCTCCGAGATGGTGCTCATTTCTGGACAACTTAACAGAAGAGTTAGAAGAAGACCAGCAGCCAACTGGTCAGTGAATGTTCACTTAGCCTTGAAATCGTCATTTATAGTAGGATAACCCCAATTCTTTCTGGAGCCGAGCGCAAACAAGAATAGTTGCCGCCTCGCAAGCAGATTGCAAGTTGGGACACATATTTCGGGGGCAGAAATCCACCCCCCCGCCCCCCCCCCCGCACCCCCTCCCTCTGGTCAAACAAGCTTAAATCCTCCTTGCTGTCTGAGATCCAAATCTCTGTCAGTGAGTTTAGACACTTACTCTGGTAATAACGTTCCCTGGGGAAATTAGGGCTAATACAAATTGGAAGCTCATTGTTGCCACATGGAGTTGTTTTGACTTACGTTGTTTTGTCATTGACCTGATTTTTCTCCAGTCCTGTACTAATTTTCTGCACATACACGTTACTCGTCCACAAGGCCGAATTTTATGCCTTAACGTTTGTTCTTTACGTTTCTTTACAGTTTATGATGACTACAAGTTTGTGACTAAGCAAGACCTGGAGAGTTTAGGTACAGTGAAGCAATAGTATGGAATAGTTCTGAACTACTGACCGATCGTTACATCTATTTTTATTTCAATTTTTATTGTTATTAACATGGTACATGTATTTCATTAGGCATTGCGACTGTCACACAGCTGTTAGCAGCTATCATTTCCAGTTTTGCCTTACAATAGCCGTGGTTAAATGGCACCCTGTAAAACAATTAAATCACCTTTCTTCCGCCACTTAATGACATTCTTTGAGTGTGTCGATTGGAATATTGCGTTTCTTGGCCGGCACCTGCACCGGCTTTATTGGGGAGCCTAGCACATCATAGGTATCCGCTACAATTAGGGTCATCCGCTGAGAAAAGATGACTTTTCGCTCAATAAGATTGCATTGTATTCTATTAACTTTTAATCTTTTTGGATCCTCTAGGTCTGGCACATTTGATGGGTACCAACCTATTGCGGGCCTACATGCACGGATACTTTATAGACATGCGTCTCTATCATAAGGTAACCATGGTAATTCATACTGTTAGTGTGAGTGTAGTTGCACACATGTTAGAGTATAATCGTATATACTGTCAGTTATTCACTGACAGCACTTGGTTGAAGTTGACGTTGACGTGGATCGGATGTTGATGTTTCTTTTTAAATTTCTTCCCAGGCCAAATCTATAGCCGAACCTTTTGCATTTGAAGAATATCGCAAGAAACGCATCCAGGATAAGATTGAGGAGGAACGCGCTAACAGGGTCAAGCTAAAGGTCGGCAAAATTAAGGTGTCATATACTAGTATGTTTGTTTGAAAACGATGCTCTTGGGCTTTGGACACAGGTGGAAATGAGATACATTTAATCAGATTGGAAACTAACACTTACACTGCTTTTTGTCTTTTGCTAGAAACTTCCCAAAGTAAACAGAAACTTAGCGGAAAAACTGATAGAAGAGAAGAGGGATACTAAGAAACATACGGTTTCGGTATGTTATTGTAATCTGCATTTTAAAATGTACTTTTCAATTGAGTTGATATGTTGACACCCTTTTCGGTATAGTTTTTAATATTTCCAAAGTCGCTTGCGTTTGTCGTATCCGTTTTTGTTTGAAAAGGGAGATTTTTCCCTCCGTTTTTATAGCATCTCTCACAGAGCATACATTATGTTCGTAGTAAATTATGTATAACATCATCGTATCCGAAAACCCCCGTTTTCGTCCGTCCATACGTAAACGAGTGGCCAGCATTTTCAAAAATCTTCACTCTGGGGAGCGTTTTGAAAAGATGCGTTTTCGGTGACCGTTTTCACCGAATGCGTGTGGACGGTAGGCCATACCTGAAAAAAATCTCCGTTTTTAAGCAAAAACGGCTGCGTGTAGACGGGGCCTCAGACTTTGAAGTATTTGCCTTGATTATTCCGACTTGTTTACGTGAAGCTTTGCTTTGTTTTTCAGTCTTCTGACGTGAGCAATCCTTTGGGAGATGACAGATTCTCGGCCATGTTTTTGAACCCAGACTTCCAGGTGGACGAGGAAAGCGAGGTAAAGCGGACTTACACGGCTGAAGTGTTTTATAATATTTATCAAGATGCTCTTAATCTAAGAATGTTTTTTGCTCTCTAGAAACTGAAAAGCTCTGAAAAGAGTGGTCGATTATTCCATAATAAATAGGAGATTCAGAAACCTAAGATAAATTTCTCCCAAGAATAGCCCAATTGTGAGTTTCCTCAATCCTCTATCAAAACGTGGCCTGTTGCACAACATTTGATGGCATAAATGTATAAAAGCGAGTGTGAATGAAAACTCATCTTCATATAGGAGAGTGAGTACCATGAGTAGCTTTTGAAAATGAGGCTAAAGATATATCGGCGATAGCCTTTTGCTTGATCATGATGTTTCTTTCATGGAGCCTGTTCAGAAAAGGTCAAAATAACTAGACCCTGCTCTTTAACTTAGCATAACTAACAAACGTCCCACACTCAAAAGGACTGACCTTTTCAGCGTTACCTTTGAGTCCTTATTTTAGAGGGCGTCGTCCATTTTCACCATGTACAAGTCTGTGAGGCCTTCCTTATCTTTTATGTTACCTTTCACCCCGTTAGCCTGCGCGAATAAAAACCGTTACGTTGATGGTAAAGTGGTAAAAAACACGTAAAACGTTTTCTTCACGTCTTACTTTGTTTGGAGGTTGAAGGGAGACAGATATTTTGCCTGTTTAATCTTACTAATGTCACTTGTCAGGTAAATTGAGACCTTTGAAGAATTTAAAGTAAATGCAAGTGAAATTGTCCTTATATATTTTTTGAAGGAATACAAACTTCTTCATCCAGTGGTTTCCAAGCATGAGAGAGAAAAACAAAAGAAGCAGAAGGAAAAGCAGAAGTTTCTGGAGCAGTTCGATGAAATAGAGGTGAGGGCTGGAAAAATTAATGATATCTTGAGTCCGAAAAAAATAACTCACTTCCTTGTACCAAGGAAGAGTAAAAAGTAATCTGCTTAATTATTTTAAAGCATTCTTAAATGGGTCTTTGAACCTTGCAAAATTGAAAGTTTTGACAAAAACTGATAACTGAAGATGTGTTACGCTTTTTACCAGAGTTTTTGTTCTCCGCGCCATTCTCCACATTTTAAATCTAGATATTTTATCTGATTAAGCTATTTTAGTAAAAAGAGAAATTAGATTCTGGTCACTGTTAGGTTTACTAATTAAATAATTCCGGATCTACTGGTTACTGGACTTCAAGCTTCGAAAGTACAATTAGATTTTCTTATTCTATAGGCGAATCTTGTTAAATTTCATTTTTGCTGATAAGAATGGGAAATATTGGGACGTCGTCTTATATAAAAGTTAAGGTCAAAAGTTGAAAGAGCTCGTTAACTTGAGCAATTTGTGTAATTTTTAGCTCTTCCAAGCAAGATGAAAGGAAATAGCACCCATCGAAAACTTCGAAATTGCTGTTTGGTAAAAACATTTAAGTGCCCATATATTTTTGTAAAATTTCGAGTTGTAAAGAGAGTATCTCCAAACTATTCGGTATTTGGGCTAAAATTTTCAGAGACAACTTCATGTGTATGGTTATGCCCTTTAAATATTTAATCTTATTTTTGTAATAACTTGATCAGAGAATGATAAGATTATATGTAAATGAGCCAAGGAATGTAAACAAATTTTCACCCATAGGAACCGGAGGGTATCCCTAGTGAGGAGGAAGAAAGCAGCAGCTCAGAAGACGAGAGGGAATGGCGCGAGGAACTCAAGAGACAGCGCAAAGAAGCTAGAATAAATGAAGAGAAACAAGCTACCAGCAGACCAAAATTTTACGAATTAAAATCAGGCGAAAACTTTAAAACCATAAAGTCTATCAAAGACGTATTGCCGTCGAAACAAAAGAAGTAAGTATGACACTGGAATTTTTGGCAAATCCCGGATCCCGGGTTGCAGTCAAATCCCTTATACCGTTGACGTGTCCCGAATCCCGCACTCTATTTTGGCCAAATCCTGCTTCCCGGGTTGCAATCAAATCCCGTATCCCGTTAACGTTTCCCGAATCCCGCACTCCATTTTGGCCAAATCCCGCTTCCCGGGTTGCAGTCAAGTCCCGTATCCCTTAACGTTTCCCCGAATCCCGCACTGTTTTTTGGCCAAATCCCAGGAATTGATCCTTCCAGACCCTGATTAGAGGGAAGACCTTAGATAACATTGACCTCTACCAGGTTGTGGCGTCCAGCGGTTTTAGTGAAAAAAAGGGTTTGGGTGGGGTGCTCAGTCTCGCGGGCTCATAAACCTGGTCTCGGTCATTCTTATTTAAGGATTTCCTGATTAGAGGATCCTAGTTACACTATAATCAAGTCAAGTTAGCCCTGTCATATTAGAGCGGTTTTCACTTGACTGTCGAAAGGGATTGGTTTTGGTTTTGGTTTTGGTTTTACTACGCCCTTTGGTTGGCTAGTGTATTTACTTTGGTTTTGGTTTTACGACAGTCAAGTGAAAACCGCTCTATGTTCGGTATTTATTCTTTGTGTATAAAATTTTCAAATTTCCTACAAAGTCAAAATAAGAGCGTTTTGTTTTGTGTGTAGGGTATCCCTTGGTGAACGTCTTCAGCATGAAGAGAGGTCGGGTGTGATCCGATCAACAGGTTCATCCTCGGGTGAAAAGGAAATTACTTTTCAAGTAGAGAAGGTAAAAAAAGGACAACAATTTAACGTTACTGGTTTAAGCAATTTTTACAAAGTTTTTCTTAAAGATTGAAATGTACTTGCTTACCCTTGTACCTAATGAAAAAAGTCATTTTAAATTATTGTTTTGTATGCAAAAGACAAATACAAATTGCAGCAGTATTTTAGGATACTGTAGGAGTTTATTGCCCTTAAATGAAGAAGGGCGTAATTGATTTTCTCTTGAATTCACTGGTATTTTTTACTGTCGTCCTTGAGTTTATTGTGGCGTGGGGTAATAATGTGAACGCAATATCCTGATTACTTTTTGATAAAGGCCAGAGTTTAACCGAGACTTGGCCTGAAACAACTTTTAATGCGGAATTTTAATGAGAAATAATTAAATTATTGTTTTCTAACTGCATGCAACCGCGTTTTCTTTTTCCAGCCATGCATCACGCGTCGAATGAAGCGACTCTATTGCATTCATCACATTTTTTGTTTTCTTTGTAGAGTAACAAAGAGACAAGGAGACATGAAGAAATTCGTGCTCATGTCAAGGAAAGGAAAAAGCTTCGTCGATCAGCCAGCAGTGTTCTGAGAAATGAGAAACGAAAACCGGTGTTCTGGAGAGGGAGGAGGGTTAGATGACACGAAGCTGCGGCCACAGTGGAATTGATAAGCTTGTACTCTTCTGGGAAACGAAAACCGGTCTGGTGTTCTGGAGAACGAAGAGAGTTCGATGACGACGTACTCGAAGTGGTGGTGACAATGAGATTGATCAGCTTGCAGCAGTTTTCCTGGGAACGAAAACGGAGTAGTGGTCTTTTTGAAAAGTATAGTTCGTTGATGCGAACATTATTTTTTGTTAATAACTCGACGTAAAGATCTGATCATCCGATTCCTCAAACGTCGCAGAGCATCAAAGTGTGTATACGGATCGTAATGAAAAGTGGTTTTGAACTGTGCATGCAATTGGATTGATTGGGAAAAAAAGAAAAAAAGAGAAAAGGAAAGAAACAAGGGGGAAAAGGAAGAGCACCCGTCGTTAATTACCAGTCGCTGCGATCCTCCTAGACACTGAGACACCTAAAACCTCACATCTGCGGCTTTTTACCAGAGACCACAATGCAAAACTGCAGTGCAGTGAGAAACTTTAGGCCGTGAAAGTGATGGATTTTCTCAGTCTTTGTTACCGATAGTAGCACTCATTGTGAAACTACCGTGTGGCACGAAATTTTTGCGGGTTCTATTTTTTTCGATTTTTCCAGCGATCTGCAAAAATAAGTTCCCGCGAAGAAAAATTACCGCAAACATTTTTCCCGCAAAAATTTACTCCAGAGTAAATATTCTCTAACTTAAATTCGCTACACAAAAATACAGGACTAAGAAATCGTGTCTGTTCAGTTACTGGTTTTACATAGGGTGCGTATACCGTAGTATTGTTTGAAAATATGTATTTCTATTTCACGTACTTAACAAAAACGAAAAATTAATATTATCAATTCTGGGTATTGGGTAAAAATAAATTCCAGGCAAGATAAACCAATTTGTCCTAATCGCAAAATTAGTTCCCGCAAAACACAAAAAATCGCCAATCCGCAAAAATAAAGTCGCGCAAAATCTTCCTGCCACACGGTAGATTAATAGATTGTACACAGTGAGCTTGAGTTTCTTGTAGACAAGTAGATGACATACAAACTAAACACACCCAACTTATTTCATTACTGTCGAACCCCTTTAATAGGGACACTGAGGGAAATGTAGAAAGTGTGCGAATATTAACGGGGTATCTTTAATAAGCGGGTCGAAAACACCTTTTACTGGAACCAAATACTCAAGAAATAAAACATGACATTATCATCGCTAAACTAATCTCTAACTCATACAAAGCCATTATTTTGTATGGAGAGCTTAAGCAACTACTACGCGGCGACGGTGAGGGTAAAAGGAGCGATGACTGTTTTGAGTATCGAGTCTTGTTTCGAGGTCCGGGTTTGACCCTGGGTTGCGATGTACTTTCCTTTTAATACAATGTATGAACACTCTCAGTAACAGCGTTCAAAAATTTTCAAAATATCTTAAAAATGGCAGCGACCGTTTACGAAAAGGAAATCCCGACGGCGAAGAAATGTACAAAAGAGCATGATAACCGTGCAAAGTTGTTGATTTGGATTGCTCTTTTGCCGTTCCCTTGCCGTTGATGTGATAGTGATTACCTCAAAGTCGATTAATTTGCAGAATTTGTGAAAGTATTTTGGTTGGATTCTTCTAATCAGTGATAAAGGGGATAAACCTTCCACAGTTTTCTTTTTTTCAACTTTTGACATGGCAAGTTCGTTCCCCTCACCATACAAACGTCTGTAAATTTTCGTACCTTTGCGGAGCTATATCTTCGCTCGCTTATAAGATGTAGCATCTTTAAGCTTGGCAGTTTTACCAATTTTAAGGCGCTCTTTCCAGTGGTACCAACGAATTTTTCCTAGATGGTCCTTGTAAAAAGTTGAGATAAAAAAAGAAAAAAACCGTGGAAGGGTCTACAGCGTATTAATAACTACTTTCAGTAAATGGTATATTCTTTAACCTTAATTTTTTTTTTTAGCTCCCGTCTTTTAGAACTATGTACATGTATCTCGTTATTTATGCGAGGCGGCAGTCAACTAAAGTGTATCTATTTCAGCCATAGTATTTTTCACGAAAATGGATCTTCCCCTGTGTTTTGTTATCGTTGTACTCTCGCACTTTGTAATAATCGTCGCACTTTGTAATGCCTGTCGCACTTTGTAATAAAATTGTCACACTTTGTAATACCTGTCGCACTTTGTAATAACACTCGTCGCACTTTGTAATAAAAAAGCTGTCGCACTTTGTAATAACAGACCATCGCACTTTATAATAAAAAAAGCTGTCGCACTTTGTAATAACACTTGTCGCACATTGTGATAAACTTGAAATAGATGGTTGGAGGACAAGTAAACCCAGTAATAAGTGTCATCATCGACAATAACAACAACGACAATAATAATGATAATAATAATAATAATAATAATAATAATCATAATAATAATCATAATAATAATAATAATAATAGCAATATTATAACAATAATAATAGTTCTTATGTTTTAAGATGACGCTGATGATTGTTTAGGCCGCTCATGAGACGGCCACCACATTAACACAGAATAATATAATATGCGCTTAATTTCCAACAACTAGAAAAGATGTCATTGTCACAATGACGTAATTTAATGAGTGTAGGTATTGGCAAAATCCAATTCCATTATTTTTCTTTCGAAGTGAAAAAGGCGTCTGACAAAATATAGAAGTTGGAAAACACATTAATTATCTGAAAAAATAGCAGCGATATCATGATGACATCATTCATTGTTAAAGGAAAGTCTCAAACAATCCGCCATTCTAAATTAATTAAGTGTACTCCATTTTACTTGAAACCCGCAGAAATCGAGGCAATCGTCATTGAAAATTGATCTTTAATGATGTTTAAAAATTAAAAAAAAAGCCGAAACTTATAAAATTCCGAGAGAAATTATCACTGTGAAACTATTGAACCCATCTGCCAGTTGGTCGCGGTTAACGACGTTAACCATGGGCCAACATCTTTCCGCCAAATGGAGATGCAAAGAAAGTAATCCGTTTTTTGGCGTCTGACTTGCATCGACCGACACTTGTTATCTCTATTTTATCCTACCTAGGGGAGATGTGTACATGTCACAGCGGCACCCAACGACGGTTTCCCCCTAAATACATTGAAAACACTTTTTAGGCTATCACTTTTAGAAGCTTGGCTGGAAAACTCCTTTTGAGATCTATTACGGACGGAAATGCAGGCGTGCCTTGGTCACAGTGCTTGCAATCAATGGCAACGGATGGTACCTATGGTGACCAATTAACTTTACAAGCGGCAGCAGACTTGTGTATCACCACGCTGATTTCTCCGTCTGCGAGCATACCTTATGCGAGAGTGCAGCTGGGACACTATGCGGAGCAGCACGGAGAACATTATATTTGTGTCGAAGGTTGGACTTGAGTTTCGGAGGAAGAGCCACACCTGGCACTGAAAGTTAGGAATGTAACCAAGAAAAAGGTGGTGATTCATTAAGTTCCCAAGAGGCAGAGGTGGTGCCCGCGAACCGTAGAGAAGAGGCGTCGGCAGTGCCTACAGACAAATCTCCTGTACCAGTGGAGATCCGCTTTGTTGGAGATGACAGCGTCGGGATCGTCAATCACTTCAACAATTTGACCTGTCACAATGGATAGTCTTCCAAAAGAAATTCTAACCATAATCATTGATCAGGTCTTAATGTCCTTAAACTTTTCGTGGCCCAACCACAGATGCCACTTTTATAATCAATTATGCAACGTTAATACTCGTTTTCAAGATATAACCCAAAGGCTGGCTTTGAAGGTTCTGCCGCGTATTTATTTCTCTAGTGTCGGTGTAGCGGGAAAAGCCAGCGTCAAAAAAAATCCTGAAAATATTTGGGCCTTCAAGCGGTGTTGTGCTTGAATTAAGGCGAATAATTTTAAATAAAAAGTGGGCGAATGCTTGGCTCATCCTGCGTTATATACAGGTCTTGGATGGTTCCTCATCATGGACATATATTGGCGAAACAATTAAGTAGGATACTAACCTACATAGATTTAATATGGAAATTGAACATAAACGTCTGAGACTCATATGTTTTGTTAGTATCATTGTACTGTAATAATATTTGCTTTTCGTGTTCGCATTTTCTGGGCCATACTTTGTGATGTCGCATTTTCTGATTATTATGAATGATGCCGTTTCATGTAGGTTCCAGCGTATTCGAAATTTCCACAACATTCATTAGTAGTGGTCATCGTGGCACAATGACATGATATGCAATGTTTTAAAGAACTTTTTAGTGCGAAAATAATAGTGACAATAATGATGATGATCAGAATGATTGTAGCATCGGGTTGTGCTCTGAGTTTGTGATTTTCATTTGGTTTTATGAAATACCGTATAGCTTATTCATGGTGATAAATACAAATCAAGTAATATCTCTGTATATGTCTCAAGTAATACCTCGCAGGTAACGAAATCATAGGTTTCCTAGTTGCCTGTGCTAGTAGTAAAACTTTAAAAATATTTTGCTTATACGATCACGTTTCGCCTGAAGGACACCTTTAATTACTTTTACTAACAATTAATTAAATGAAATTTCAATAAAAACTCCCCTTTTAAACGAATCTCCCTGTCATAGGCGCAGACACTTTCTCTCTATCGAGGTCGACCGCATATAAAGAGTTGTACTTCCCTAGAAAGATCTTGAAGCCAGAAGTTGATGTGAACCCTTATTATTATTATTGTCGTTGTTGTTGTTGTCGATGATGACACTTATTACTGGGTTTCTTTGTCCTCCGACCATCTATTTCAAGTTTATTACAAAGTGCGACAAGTGTTATTACAAAGTGCGACAGCTTTTTTTATTACAAAGTGCGATGGTCTGTTATTACAAAGTGCGACAGCTTTTTTATTACAAAGTGCGACAAGTGTTATTACAAAGTGCGACAATTATTACAAAGTCTGACAATTTTATTACAAAGTGCGACAGGTATTACAAAGTGCGACGATTATTACAAAGTGCGACAGTACAATCGTTGGCTCTGTTACTTCTCATCGGTACAATAACGAACATAACCTGCAGATCCCGGCGTAGGTTTCAGTTTGTAGACGTAGATAGGACCACAGTTACGCACCTTTATATAAATACTATAGTAACAATTTCTTTGTCCATAGAAGCCCTTTCCGAAGCACACTTTCCGGCTAACTATCCCTTCGTCAACTGTTGGATGACTTCCCGTTAGCCATCCCTGATAATAAGTAGAGCAATAACCGCTTT